AATATTATGGTGAAAAATTATGTAGATCCCTTTTATCAACATTTTACATAGGAAATGCATTAAGAATTGTGAAAACACTAATTTGACAAAATCTAAAAAAGAATGTTGGATTGGTAGGTTAAACGATCAAGAATATAGCCTGTTTAGTACATTTAAACCTACTCAAAAGTTCTTGAAAAATTCTATACAATAACCAGGAACCTTGCCAATGTCCTTAATGATGGAAAATTAAATCATGAGAAATAAATTTAATAGCTACCCAAGTTATACTTTAATGACCTGGATTGGAAGAAATGTTAAAGATATTAAAGCATAATCTGCCCTAACCAAAGTTATACAAGATAACTTATGAAGCTATTAAATCCATTCCTTTAATGAATTAGTTTTACTCCTTGATAATAATACCTTGTGGAGATACGTGCAATTGTTCCCCTCCTCAAAAGTCTTTCCTTGTCCGAGATTCTTCCAGGCACAACATGCTCTACATTCGAAGAGATTGTCCTGATTTTGACAAATCTCAAGCCCGATGCATCGCCGATCGCCATTACATTTGTATGTACAATTTATAACTACCGATGCTAAACTAATGCCCTCGGCAGTAAGCAAGAAGTCAAATTGACCCGACAAGGATTTTGAAGAAAGTTCTTGATACAATTGCGCATGAACGCGAGTATAAAAACGTAATAGCCAAACACATATAAAACTGAAACATTTAAAAGATAACATATTTTTGAGGTGAGTATGAACGTCCAAACAAATAAACATCGACCTTTCACAACACTTTGTTTAATATCTAAAGTTACATCATGCTTCTTTGAAATATTTTATGTAATGTCGGCATTATTCAGGATCATTTCCTGTGGGCGTAGATACAATTTATAGACCAATTGATAACCTGGATCACATGCTATTCATTCAGTAATCAATAAAACTTTTTTAAAAAAATTCTTAAACAGTGTTTTTAAAATATTTAAAACATCTACAATTGATTTATTATCTCTTACATATATCTAAAAAACAATTAATCCGTAAGGAATTTTATGAAAAATTAAAAAAAAAAGTCTGAACGTTTAAGTTCTGAACTTAATAGAGACATCCACTATTTTCCTTCATTATTCATAATTCAAAATGACAGACAATATATCATGTATAATGTCGACAAGGAACCGGTGTCTGGTGAGTTGATTACTTTGTTAACAAGGTAACAGTTAGATTTTGTGAAAACATGAACAAAATGTGTTATTTGAATTAAGTAACAAGAATCTTAATATCTATCACAAACAGCAAGAAACACAAACAAAGTTGGAAACAGTTTAATAAGTGTTAGCTATTGTTTTCACAATAGAACTTTCAAAAATTCTTTTTAAAGAAAGTAGAGCAGTGTTCTTTTTTTATACAATAAATCCATTAAAGATTAATTACCCTACTGAAATATATGTACCAGAGATATAATTATCCCTTATTTAGTTTCTGTTTGTAATCAAAAAGCTTATTCTAATTGAATTTAAAAATGGAAAATATCCCACTGTCATGGCTTATAATTAATATGAAAAAGGTAAGTCAGCATTTGACTTAAAACTTGCAAAATGATGCCTTTAAACGAGACTGTTGATATCTTTGTTTCATGAACTTTTTTGTAAATAGCTTGCCTCGTTATAGAAATTGTTCGTACGTGGAGCATGTTCATCTCTTATGTATCAATATGTCCTTGTCACCTGCATATGGAGTTTATGTCTCCCAGTTGATTCGATACGTAAGAACATGTTATACGTATCAACAATTTTTAAACCGAGGCAAGCCATTGACAAATAAGTTGATGATACAAGGATATCTACAGTCTCGTTTAAGGTCAACATTTGGCAAATTTTCACCTTCCTTGCTTATACAATCTGTCGATAAATCAAATGTTCACTGATTTTCTTCTTACAAATTGTTTAAACACTAAATTATCTACGATGTTTTCGTTTGCCCGATCATGACAATGAGCACATTTCTGATGTGACCGGTCGACGTGTAATTCTTACCTCCCACATGGCACCTGATCGCACTTCTGTTTTTAGAGGTCCTTCTTTGCTCTGCTTATAATTTGTATTGTTTAAATGGACTTTTGAAAATGAACACTATTCATTATCTTTACATTTCAATAAATTTGAATTTTCTCTGTTAAGTTACTAATTGATTTTGCTGCTTTCTCAGAACTTTAATTTATATCAATGAAAAATGTAGAGATAACAAACAGTGATCGACCTCAAAAAGCCTAGAAAAACTTCTTGTAATCATCTACCGCCTTGATTTTTTATCTGAAATGCAAATTTTTCCTAACGAATAAACGTCACTGCTTATCCCAGTATCTATTTAATATTTTTATTGAACTGAAATAAATGAAAATGAAATCCGCGTGCAATTTAAGATACCCAGGAGAACAATTATTTTTTGTTGAAAATTGTCGATTCAGTTTCGGTAAGCACATATATCGATTTCATAAGCAACTTAATAAGGACACTTCGTCAAACCTTTTAAAATTTACTGATCGTTGCCTGTTCCGTCCTATGAATTTTTAACATTTTATTAAAGGACTTCCCTGAATTGATCTTCTGGAACGATAAAATTGTGGAACGATAAAATTGTCAGTTTGTGCGTCCTTTATAAATGCCGTAGAAACCATGCATTGACTTTCTTCAACATCATATGTTACTCAGTTAGTGGTAGCAATATGTTAATATTTTTTTAGCATCAGACACCAAAATGAATATTAAATTAAGGTCAGACGAAACTTCCCCAATAACCTATTTTTTTTTTATTTGTGTCACAGGATCTCATTGTTTTAAAATTTGTGACAAAAGAAAAAAAAACAAACTATGCTTTTTTTAATTGTTTATCAAGTAGCATTCTGTTGTATTGAAATAGTTAAAAAAAAATGAAAAACTTAATTTAAAAAATATGAAATACATTGAGAGAATTCATAATCAGGAGATGAAAAAGAGTAGAAGAACGCAGTGAAGTTTGAAGACGAAAGACATGCCTTGCTAAATAGAAAAAATGGGACACCATCTGCATCTTAATTGATGCATTACAATTCAAACTTCGCCACAATGCTAATTCACCATATATTAAACCAGTTTTTCATAAAAAGGATTATAAAAAACAAAAGATGCCTACCGCTATAATCTGCAGGTTTTCTACTCTTTTCATTGATTTTAATCGACTGTTGAAAGCCACTGACCCAACACAGTTTGTCCGTAATTTCCACATTTAATTCCCCATATACTGTGATGACTTTGAATATGAATCGAAACAACATCATTATACACCTAATGGGTCATGATTTTCAGAATTTTGGAATCATTATAAAACAAATGTTTTAGAGTTATAATTCTTTTACTTCCACAATAATCTTGAAATCTCAATATTTGATTCAAAATCACTTTTTACCTTTCATTCAAAGGAAAAGAATAATAGTCAATTTGTTAATTTAATTAATTAATGGGTAATGTTTCTTAAATTAAGACGGACTACTGGCCAGTTGGTAATGCCCAAAACAATATTATATACCGTTGTCATAGACATATTTTTTTCGGCAAGAAAATAGATTCCTTTTTCTTTGGCGTTCGTCAATTTGCGTTTCACATTGTATTAACGGGCATGTCACAAAGCATTCTATTACATTTTTATCTTGCATTCTTGTCTTCATCAATACACCGTATTGTACAATACTTTGTTTAACTTTAGGGGGTCAGTTTGCATAATATGATTTCAAAGATTTTATGCGTTCTATAGAAGTTTTTTCTAGTTTCTTCTGACCCTCTAACTATGTATAATTTTGTTTTTTGTCATTTAGATGAATAAATGACTGTTTTCTTTCATTTTCAATGCCGCTTTTATGTTTTTTCTAGTCCATCAAAACATCTAGCGCAGTTGACTTTGCTTCTTAATTATGAAAATAACAAAGGAACATAAAAAAAATTAGTGTTTTAAGCAAATTTGGGAAAAAAGAATTGATTTGAGCTTTTGTAATAAAAGGTTGTATATTATGAATTATAAATTTTAAGTTTTACATCAGGTATAACTATATACATGTAAAAGGTAAAGATAACAAACTGTGATCGATCTAAAAAAAAATCCATAAACAATACGAATATATGAAGAGGGCATAATACACGGACTCCTGGATATTTCATGGAAGGGATAACACAGCCATCAGAGAAAAAGTTGTTATTATGCATGTACATGGACTAACTTCAAATGGATTACGCATTGGGTTTTTTTTTATAAACATACAAAAATGTTGTAATTCACACACTCTTAAAATGCCTTTCTTTCTTCGCTTTTGATTTATCATGTATTTCTGTGGTCTTTAGATAAATCTTACATGATTTTAATAACAAGACAAATACTTGTAATTCACATGCACGTAAAACATCGTTTCCTTCTTCACACTGAATCACGAGTGGGACATGCCTCCCTTTACGTCCAGAAGAACACAGAAAGGGTATACTGTTTCCAGGAGAAGCACGTCCATTAAAGAAACAATGGTAATTTTCGTCAACACTAGACTTAATGAGTAAATCATGAAGTGTACGTCCTTATCAAAAGCATAGAATTGATATTATTTGCAAAAGAGCTAATGTTTAAAAAAAAACTTTTTCCGCATAATTGTTTAAAAAATCTTGGAACAGAATCATAGAAAAAATCTACAATACTTTTTAGAAGATTGATTTGTTTTTACAGATACAGGCGATAAATACTAAAATAAATGTGATGCAAAATAATACCGTTAAAAAAATGAAAAATTAGAGTACCGAATATTCCTTGCTTGAAAGTAGAATTGAAAGTAGAATGCTAAAAAGTGGAAACCACATTTGGGTAACTTTAAATTCTTGTTGATTCTATGAATAATCTTTTGCTGATTTCAAAGGATAAAAATACTTTCATTGGATGTCTGGTTGATTGATTTGTAGTTTAAGTTCCTTGATAAATTACAGAGATGAAAAGCTTCAAATTTAGACCTTTACTAGGAACTCGGAACCATTGAGCAGCGAGGGCTCTATAGCTGACAACGCCCCTGTTTTGAAGGTTTCATACAAAAGACCAACAACATTCATTTTAAAGTTCCAAGCGCCTCCAACTGGTTTATTGAATATCTGAACTGAAAAAAATTATCATAATAATGAGAGTCTTCCTTATTGTAAAACTAGAACTTAAATAGCATCCACTATGATTTGGAAGTCTGCCTTTTCCATGAACTGAATTCCTTGTTTGAGTATGCAGTGGATAGACTGCTTTTCCAAAATGTTACTTTATTCAAAGCGTTTGACGCGTATTGGATAGCTATTTTTGCTGGTTTATTGACAACAACTACAAAACACACAAACACAAAATTATTTCTTGAAAAGAATGAATCAGTAGTCTACTTAAAGTAGTAGTTTAAGTAGTAAGAATGTAACATAAATTAATTAAACATGTCATGTTAAACAAATTGACAGGAAATTCAATTCAAGGACATTAATGATATTGGGAAAAAAGTTGATAAAATCAATTTGTTTAAACATTTCCTTGATTGAATCAATGAGGTCAAGAAAATTGGTATTGCCATACTTAGCCATAAATTCGAAACATCAGATGATAGATAGATAGATAGATAGATAGATAGATAGATAGATAGATAGATAGATAGATAAATAAGGTTTAATGGATCCCAAGTTGCTGGTATTTCTTAAAGAAACTGACAACTTAAAAAATAGTTTCATACTTGATAAACTGTTCATTATTCTTGATTTAAGCCATATGGAAAAAATAAGTAACAAATACGATTAATGAACAAAATATGAATGTGAATATTCATTTCGTCAGTCCCCAATTTTAGTTTTGATGGAAATTTCTAGAGAGCCGTGGCATCGGAGCAAATTTACAAAAAGGAAGGAAAGAAGAATGTAAGAGAGCAAAAGAGAAATTTAAAACAACAAAGTTAATTTGTTACTTGGCATGAAAACAATTGTATAGCATTTGACAAGACCATAAATAGTGAATATATTTGTATTTAGATATGTCGACGACGTAATATCAATTAACAATAGTTACTTCCATTCATTTCGACTTAATACCACAGAGTCTGACAGATCTGTTTCATATTTGGTTATTTTATCAGAAAAAGACGTCAATAGTAACTTAAAACAAGTCTTTATGATAAACGTGATGACTTCAACTTTTCTATCGTCCTCTTCCCTTACTTATGTAGCAATATACCCTTACCAATGCATACGGGGTTTAAGTCTCTTAGTTGATTCGATATGCGAGAGCATGCTCCATGTACGAAAAATTTCTAAAATGAGGCAAGCTATTGACAAAATTCGGATTTCCAATGTTTTGGCAGGAGCATCACTGAAGAGACAGAATTTATCGAAATGGGCATTTGGTCCATCAAAACTGGTACCGTATAAAATTTACAAACAAGTTGAGGATACAAGGATATCAACAGTCTTCTTTAAAGTCATCATTTCAAAAGTTCTGTGGTCGATTTAATGACCTTGTTACAATACAATCTATCAATTAGTCGAATGCTGACTGGCGTTTTTCAAACTAATTGTTCGTCATTATATAAACACTATATTTTCTACGATATTTTCTTTTGTCCGATCATGACAATGAGAATACAGCGGGTGTGACCAGTTGACAGGGGATTTTTACTTCTCCATGGCACCTGATTCCACCTTTGGCGTCTTTTTTTTTTTTTTAGAGATCTGTGTTTTCTCTGCTCCCGATTTGTATAGTTTCAATTGACTTTTGAGCTCGTTATCTTCATATTTCATGAATACAAAATAAAGTTGTTTAAAAGAAAAAAGAAAATATCATATTATGACTTATGCTATTGTTCAAATATGTGCATTCACGCATCCCAAGTTTTCAGATTTCTTTCTCAGTTATATTCATTGACATGTTTACACTATATATTCCTGTGAATTCAAAATAAAAGAGACCACAGGATGGACCATATCTGTTTCCTATTTGAATGTTTTACTGACTATAGCCAAACATAACGACTTAAGTTTTTCCATTCCATCGTCAATTCCCGAATTTATGCACCAGTATACCAACATCACCTGCAGAAACAGGCTACAGACATAGGTTGATTTTAGAGAGCTCTCAGCAATTAAGAGTCAGCATTTTACAATTCTATGGTTGATATAATGACCTTGTTTGCAGTTCAACGTATGATTGGGTCGTATTGTTGTCCGGCGTTATTGGGTCGTATTGTTGTCCGGCGTTATTGGGTCGTATTGTTGTCCGGCGTTGTTTGTGTTTTTTAAATACTTATTTGACTACGGATTATATTCCGTTTACCTCATAAATACAGAGGCTCTTGGCGGGGGGATCAAGAGATGATGCTTAAACATCCTCCGGTCATTACATAAGGGGATATTTTTTGTCGTATACTTTATTAATTTTTAGCTTTATAATTTATAAGTTTATTTGAAAACTCAGCTTTTTCTTGTTTTTCCATGTTTCTGAACAAAAGCACTATTCAATATTTCGTTTATATAGCATATATTGGATACATATTTGACTCTTTTTTCAATGGATGGCATTGTCCTTTTAAATCACTTGTGTTTCCTTTCGATTTTTTCTTTAGAGTGGATACGTGTATGCAATTGTAAAGTGCCTCGGTTTTTGATTGAAATTTAAAATGACCTTAAACGCCCACTTTATTTCAAGGACAGGCAGCTTTTATACTTTTAATGTAAGATTTATTTTTTTTTTTTTTACATATATTGATGGATTTAAAATAATGGATAAAACAACAAAAGAAATTTGAAGTGAATGAAACTTACAATTTAATTTTCTACTGCAACTTTTAAAAATTGTGTCTACATTTTCTTAGATAATATAAAAGTTCTTGTGTTATCCTTACAATTTGAGATTACTTCTTTTTTTTTTATAAACGCACAAATATTTGCACTTCACACAGATTTAAAGTTTCTTCTTTCCCCTCTTTGCTCTGGATCATAAGTGTGACGATCCTCCCTCTACTTCCGGAAGAACAGAGAAAAAGTATAAGATCTCCAGTAAGAGCAGGGCCTTCGAAGGAACAACAGTAGTTCTCATCCACAGTAATGAGTAAATCATGCAGCCTATTCCCTTGTACAAAAGCATGGATTTAATTTTATATTAAAAGAACTATATTTTGTTAGTGTATAATTGTTAAAATGTCTTTCTAATAGAGGTGCAAGATAAGTATTAGATTTATAGACTAATGAGTAAATCATGCAGTTTTATTCCTGGTAAAAGCATGGATTTCATTTCATATGTGAAAAAACTTATTGATTGTTTGCTGTACTATTGTGAAAACATCTTTCTGCTAGAGGTACAAGATTACTATTAGATTTATGCTAAGGCCTAATTTGGAAAATGTCCATTTAAGAGAAATCAATTATTTTTGGTAGATGATTGGATCTTATGCAGATAAATTTGTACCAGCTTATGGGTATATCGATTAAATGTAATATATATAATCTGAATACACGTCAATCTATAATCTCAATTATATATAGGGGTTTAGGCAATAAAGATAAAATATGAACATAATATAAAGTCAACAATTTCTTAATATTTAAATTGTATGTATGCATCACCATTTACAACCGAAAAAAGTCCAAAATACATACAATCAATGGATTCATTACTTCTGTTTTTAGAATGTATCCTTAAAATAAAAGTATTTTACTTTCATTCACTTACCAAATGAATCTTGCCTGTTGTAGACTAGAACTTCAACAACATCAAAGGTGTTCTGCAAGTCTATCTTGATCCACGGATTGATTTCTTTTTTTGTGTGAGCAGTAGACAGTCCGTTCTCACAAACAGTGACGTTGTCCACAGCGTTTGATGCGTGATGATATCTGGGGTCATACAACGATATGATACTTGCTGGCTTATTTACTGCAACTGCAAAAGAAAGATGTGAATTTCGTGCCCTCATTTGATAGAAATATGTTCTTTAGAGAGACCTGTTCTTCGTTTTTCGAGTACATGAGTATGTTCTTCATTTTTCTCTGATGCACAGGACAATAATTTCATCGTAATTTCCGTAGAACAGAATAATTTTAATAAAAATTAAAACTTCTTTTTTTCAAATGTCAATTTGTTGTTATTTCTCTGGAAGTCATTGGATATTTTTATTTTGTAACAACAAGAACAGATTTCTGTTATCATGGAAAAGAAGACAAAAATAAAAGATAAATAAGAACACATTGAATTATTCAGAAAAGTCTCCTTCTCTCCTTTTTATAATAGTTAATAATATCAAAATTTATGAATAAAAAGAATTGTAAAGAAACTTACAACACAAGAACTTACCATTAATTTTATCAATATTTTCCTTCTCTACCTAAATAAGAGGTATTAAAATAAAGTGATCAGAATTAGTTATGATTTTAAAAAAAGTTTGAAATCATCAAACTTTTCAAAACAACAACATCAAACAGTAAAGACTTTTCAAGACTTTATATAAACATATCCTAAGATAAAAAAAGACCAGAATTTTTGACATCATAGACAATTTATTCTTCTATTAAAATAGAGTAAAATTTGATTGAAAGTTACAAAATTACTTTCTTAAAATCATTCTGAATCTACATATATGTTATCTGCAGTTGACATTTCATTACTCTGATATATCATTGTAAACTTTGTAGACTAGGTCGTCCAACGATCTGAAAGTTATGTTAAGGGTGTATTATGTTATGTGCAAAGTTAAGATATAAGATGATTGGGATTGATTGATTGATTGTTTGTTGTTTTACGTCCCTCTCGAGAATTTTTCACTCATATGGAGACGCCACCACTTGCCGGTGGAGGGCTATAAATTTTGACCTATACTCGGCACTCAGGGATCTTTTTCGTGCCAGCACCTACTGCGACACGGGACCTCGGTTTATACGGTCTCATCCGAAGGACCGGTCTCCACGTCCCGCAGTGGGATTCGAACCCGCGATGTAAGGATCAACTCCTTACTCCGCGACTCTAGAGCAGACACTCTAACCACTGCACCACGCGGGCGACAAGATGATTGGGATAAGCAAGTAAAAGATTTTTTTAAGTGTTGCACTTAACTTTCATTGGAGTCAGTGGTATTCACTGTCTGTCTGAGAGATAGTACAAGGAAAGTTCCTTAGACTTGTTATGATATTACTTGAGTTCGAAATACTTATGACCTTTAACCTACATACTTATTTGAGGGTATAGTCCTTTCTGCAACTTAATTTCTATTAAAGCACAGCCATTACACAACGATCCTAGACAAGATTTGTCTAACAACAAAGCTTTATGATAAACGTGATTACTTTAACTTTTCAATCGTCAATTTCCGTTATTTATGCAGCAATATACCTTCATCACCTGCATATGGGGTATATATTTCTCAGTTGATTCGATATGCAAGCACATGCTCTACGTATGAACACTTTCTAACACGAGGTAAGTCATTGACAAACAAGTTGATGAAACAAAATTATCAACAGTTCGATTAAAGTCATAATAACGTAAGTTCTCTGGTCGTTACAAAGACCTCGTCAGCAAATTCAATCTATCATTAAGTTATATGCTGACTGACTCTTTCAATAATTATTATTAGGCCATTATTTACACATTGAATTGTTAGGGATATTTCCCGATTATGACAAGGAACACACGGCAGGTGTGACCGGTCGGCAGGGGATGCTCACTCCTCCATGGCACCTGATCCCAACTCTTACGTTTTTTGAGGGTCGGGTTTGCTCTGCTTCCGATTTGTATTGTTTTAATGGACCTTGAGCTTGAATACCGTTTGTTATCTTCACAATAACAAGTACCGGTATAATAATTACTCAGCTATACAGGAGAAATTATAAATCTCAAACCTCAGTCTTCAATTAAAGTATTAATATTTAAATTGTATTAATTTAACCATCATAATTTTCCAAAAATTGGAAATGGGCAATTTTTAACAGTGGAGAGAAGTGATTTTTTTTTTACTTTAGTGTATTCAAAATACCATAATTTCTAATATCAGAGCAATCCAAAAATACATATGGCGGAATTTTAACATCTAATCTTACAAATTTAAGAGGAAAGAAAACCTTCAAATATCTGAATTGAACTAACGTCTTCATTTTTAGAAGCAGTTGCCATAAACTAATATCATATTCTATCTTTTTTAGTTTGAGTTTAAATACTTCAAACAACCTGTCAATATAAACACGCACCATTCTGAGATACCTGCATGTGTTCAAATTATTGTTAGTCCTTTCTTGTCCGAGTTTCTTCCAGGCACAGCATGCTCTGCATTGGTAAAGATCCTCCCTAATTTTACAGATCTCGAACCCGATACATTGACGAATGTCCTTACATCTGTAAGTACACTTTGTTGCGGCTGTAATAAAGCTTTCTCCTTGAGTAGTAAACAAAATCTCCAGCTGACTGGACAAAGATCCTAGAAATTCATCAATCAAATGTTTTTGGACTATTTGGGCATTAGAGTAATAAGCCATAGCTGCTACAGAAAGACACATCCATCTGTAACTCATCATTAAAGAGGACATGTTCTTCTTTCAAAATTTAAATGGCTGAAAGAAGACTTGCTTAAGCTTCTTTAGAACTTCTGAAGACCAATCTCTAAACCTGTTTTATTCCTTATTGTAAACAGTTACTTCGTTTTGCTTCTAAGGACATAGAAAACCGAACTCTAAGAAGAGCAGGCAGAAAAGATCATTTTTATTGTCATTATATAACCCCCTTTGATTGATTGATATTGTTTAACGCCGAGTCGGCAATATTTCAGCCATATATCGGCGGTAACCCCCTTTGAAAACCCCCTTTGAAAATCTAAATCAATATAAGTATTCGTTATCAAAATCTATAGCTTATTTTGTAAGATCAAATATTTATTAACTTTCGGACTATAATGATTAATTTGAATTAGAAAAGATTTTTTTACTGAAGATGACAAATTAAAAATGCTACAAACAATGATTTATGTGCTCATTTGATATCTACGACCTAGTGCAATACATGAAACTCATCTGTTTTATAATAGAATTTTTCAATATCTTATTTCTTACTTTTTTAAATCTTAAAATAATTAGTTTCCAAAACAACAAAAAAAGATACATCTGGAAAGGAAGACATACTTTTTCCTTATTAAATTTGCTTCTTTGTTTTTTTGTTTTTGTTTGTTGTTTTTTTTTTTTATCATTCTCATCTGGTCGACTTTGGAAATAAAATAGGATTTCTGAGCATACCCTGCATAAAAAGATAATTTATGCATTTGTGATATTCTATTCAGTAAGAATATCTTTTACATTGATGTCTGTGCCAAGTTTGTTCAATAGAATTGAAATATAAACCACGAGTATATATACAAAAATCGGAGCAATGCACAATTAATCACGAATGTTATTAGCATATTATTTTAATTTGTATATACAAGACGCACGGTCCATACTTTCAACGTTTGCATTAGTGACACTGCAAAGTTTGTGCGATAATACTAGTATTTTATTAATTTTGAAATAGACCGTGATTAATAAATAAATAAAAATCATAAAAATGTACAATATTTTATGAATGTTGTCAGCCTAAATACTTTGTATATACAAGATTGATACATTGATTGTATGTTGTTTTACGTCACATTCGAGAATTTTCACTCATATAAACAGGCCAAAGTGTACCGTGAAGGGCTACACATTTAGAACTATAAAGTTTCTCAGGCGCTAGGCACTCAAGGCCATTGAGTAGTGAGGATTCTTGATCGTGCCAGCGCCTACCGTGAATTTGGACCACTGGTTTTAAGGTCTCATTTGAAAAACCCGTGACTTTCACTTTAATGCCGGGCGCTTGGCAAAGAAACAACTACTCCCTATATGTTAACGTCTTAGGCTTGATGCGGCGTTGGGAACGAGAATCGAACCCGAAACTTCCAATCACAAGTTTTAATAAATTGTGGAATATATTCAGTAAAACATTGAGCACATAGTTTCAAGAATATTATACCGGTATGCTCCAATTGATAATCATAAGGACATATATATATATATATATATATATATATATATATATATATATATATATATATATATATATATATATATATATATATATATATATATATATATATATATTTATTTATTTATTTATTTATTTATTTATAGCCAGAGCAGGAATCATATAATGAAGAACAAAATATTTCTTTGAATGAAAACGTTATTGCTATTTATTTCAATTTAAATTTAAGTAATGTATTGTTCAATACGTTCTATTTCTTTACGATAATAAGAAGATCGGTTGACAGTATTGCACTAGACACGATTGCCACATATCCACTATGATCTGCAACAACTGAGAATTATTGAGTTGGTGTGTTGCTGCATATGGCTCAGAGTTACGCTTAAAACTTGAGTTCACTGCACTGAAATAGAAAGTTTTTGACGGATACGAATTTCCTTTTGATTGCATTACATATGTATTAATATACTTTATATACTTACAAGCATGGCACACAGAATAAAAATAGAAATATATTTTCCAAACATGGTCCCACTGGGGAGCATAACAAAAGTACGATTAGCATAATACATGAGGACACAGCAACATGTAGAAAAAAATCATAATATAGTACTTTTAACCGAAGCGGACGTGGAGAATAATTTGAATAGTTCCCCTTTCACCGATGAAGTTATAGATTATAGTATTTAAGGTGGTATTGGTAAATTTAGCAAATATATTGATTTATTACATGTATAAGATTAAATAATCACTAGCTTTCTGACTGGCTGAGATAAAATATGAAGATAACGAAAAGTATTCAATCTCGAAAGTCCAATGAAACGGATTAAATTTGGAGCAGAGCAAACACGGACCTCAAAATTTAGAGGTGGGATCAGGTGCCATGAGCATCCCTGCCGACAGGTCACACCCGCCGTGCGCTCCTTGTCATGATCGGGGAAAAAACGGAAAAATGTGTAGACAGTCCAGTGTACAAATAATGGCCTAACAATCAGTATGAAGAACGTCAGTCAGTATTTGTCTCAATGATAGGCTGTATGTGCTGACAAGGTCATTGTATCGACCGTAAAACTTGCAAAAAGATGACATCAGACGAGACTGCCGATATCCTTGTTTCATCAACTTGTTTGTCAATAGCTTGCCTCCTTTTAGAAATTGTTCATACGTAGAGCATGCTCTTGAGCATCGAATCAACTGAGAGACATAAACCCAATATGCAGGTGATAAAGGCAATTGCTACATAAGTAAGTAATATATATATATATATATATATATATATATATATATATATATATATATATATATATATATATATATATATATATATATATATATATATATATTACTTACTATATATATATATAGTAAGTAATATATATATATATATATATATATATATATATATATATATATATATATATATATATATATATATATATATATATATATATATATATATATATATATATATATATATATATATATATATATATATATATATATATATATATATATATATATATATATATATCACAATCACGGTGGAAAGCTTATAAACCACTTGACTGAGTTTTTATCAACTTTACCTTCAATCAGCATTATGATTTATGGCACCATTCTTTGAGATATTGCAGCTGTAAAACCATTATAAGAGTATGAATGGTTGAATGAGAATCGTTTTAGCTCGAGTTTGCTTTTTTACTTTGTTTGCTCTCAAGGACGATTAAATTTAATAATACAAAATGATCCAATTTTTCAGAAGTACAAAAAAAAGGTTTCTTTTTATGATTTTTATGAACATAAATATCCATTATCAGAATTTGCATCTACTTTTGTGAGTTTTTTTTTAAGCTCTTTAACATCAATGATTATTTTCTATTATGCATTTGAAGGATACATATATTTTTTCTACCATTAGTAAAGATTGAAAATGCTTATATAAATGTTTTTAGTTTTTTCTTATTAATACCATCTAGTATAAATCCGTCATAGAATATTCGCTTTTATGTTTCTTTTACTTTTTGCTATTTTCTTTTTGATCATTTTCCATAATTTAGATTGCAAAACTACGAGAAAACTACTTGTAATTTGAAAAAATGGCATATCATTCCTTCCATGATGAATTATTTTTTTATCCAATTTCATTTAATCTTGTCTACCCTTGAAATCAAATGGTATTTCTAGATATACCGTACATCATCTTATAGTTTGTAGATTTTGGATTTTTGTTTAATTACTGGCTTTGCGAAGCATGGAATGTGTGCAAAAAATACCATCCACATACAGATTATTTGTTCTTTATCAGTTAGAAAAACATATGTTGAAGGAATTACTTCCTTCTGTCCATAGCATTTTGTCCACTCACATGAAACATAATAAAACACGAGATAAAAGTACTGAAGAAATGATTATAATTCATCTACTATGCTTGTTTTATTTCTTTAAAAATTTCTAAATAACTATCAGAAAAATACACTAACTTTTTAAAAGAAGGCTTTATTTTAAAAGACTTAAAATGCATGTATTTTTTTTTTAAATACATCCAAATTAAATACAAGTCCTGAATGTCCAATGATGTAGATTTAAAAAGCAAAAGAGCCTAATTCATTTGAAACTATAAGATTTTTCTGCATACGAAATTATAACAATAATTTGAATGAAAAACTTATCTTTCTGATATTATATCCACACACAAATACAAAATAAAACTTCTTATCCTATGAAATACAGAGCAATACATTCAATTTTCATTTTATACAGTAATTTGTAACGAGATATGGTAATATGGGGGTGTTTCTTTTCAGATCTTTTGATGAAGAACCACTTGCCCGAAAAGACGAAACTTATAATATATATATATTTTCTGATATACTAGTAGTGTAGATTCCAATTTGTTCAAATTATATCACAATGGTGGAAAAAAAGTTTTATGCAGTAATATGTAACTATTCGCAGGCTGTGTGAGTTTTTATCATTTTATTTACCCTTAGGTTAGGTTTTGCCTTAAATTGTGAAAGACAATTTACACAAAACATTATAAATTGGGTGGGAGGGAAGTCTTCTGTTATAAGAACAAAGCCAAGTCAGTCATATTTATGTCGAAGTATTCCCATGATATGTTCATTCAAGTTTGGAATGTTATGACCCCTTTAGACTATGGTGGGGCAACAATATTGGGTCATATTTTCTATGTGAACAAAAGAGGGAAAACAATCTTTGGAGGTAAAATATCGGGACTAGAGTGAATCGGGTGATTCTTGTGGTCCTTTTATTCTCCATTCATCATTGAATACTCATGAAAGTTAATATATGTGATCAATTTAACAGAAAATTCATATATTTCTAACACCTTGTGATTTTTCTTTCATTTTCCTTAATAAGGTTATGTGATAAGGTAACGTATAAGGCTATTTTTGTATGTTTTTTTAAATTTGACTATCAATTATTGTAGTTTCGCCAAATCCATGATGTAAACAAATTCATTCTATATAATATTCACTGTATAAAGTAGTTTTCAAAAAAAATGTATTTTATGATCCAGTCTTCTATAGTCTGTCCCACGGTACCAAGGACCTCACTTTTCGCCTCATATCTCAAAATGTATAAATACCTTGGTCTTCAAATTAGGTTCGATCTATAGATCATTTTTTTTCCAAACTTCCTCCATTTATCCGAACCCTCGAGTTCAACCAGTGTATTGACACAGCGGCAAATTCAAAGTCTACGGGGATTTAACATGGTAAACTCGTCCATTAGCGTCGAGATTACGGGGCAGGAAACCAGTTTATTGAGGGAGTAGTCGTTCTTTCCAAATTAAAATTACAAAAAATCCTAAAAATCCAACGAAAGTAATTCAGTGTGATTTGGTAAATAATATAAGTATGTTTTTGCATTCAAATATATTTTGACGAGTTTTCTCATAAAATGAGAGAAAATAATCCGAATTCAATGCAGTACAAGTTGTGGATATTGAGGTCACGCATTTCCTCTAGAAACGGATGTCGACATGGTCTGGACTCCGGTGCAAGAATGTGTTATTTACAGCTTCACTTGTTGAAAATGTAGCAAGATGGTAAGTTGTCGTCCTTTTCTTTATTTTATACCATATATACACCCAAGAAAGAACTGTTTCAAATGCAAAGAATAAGTCAGAATGTTCGCTTAAAGTGCCCCATAACATGTTACATGTCAAAGAAAAAAAAACAAAAACGAAAACTGACATTTTTATCAACTTATTTCAAATCATAAAACTATAAGAAGAAGAAAAAAAAGAAAGCGTAGAAATACACCTTTTAATTATAATGACAATGCCTTTTTTTTAATTACAAGCTAGTAGTTTTTTATTTATTCATTTAAATGCATGATCATGTATAGGTCGATCTACTTTCACTTTGAACACTTCATGCATTTGGCTGATCCATAAAAAGCAAAATTTTACATTTTTGTGAAGTGTCAGCACCTTGACGAATCACTTTACAGTTTTTTTTATATATAACAAATATTTTTGACACTCAAGATTTTTTTGTGAACTTTTTAGTTTTAATTTTACAGGACAGATCGAGTTATAATTAAGGGTATTCTGTGTTTTATCGAACAGTGCTATGGGATATTGCTAGGTTGTAGGTATAAAATATATAAATAAATGCTACATGTTGATCGATGCAGTCCAGATTTTACTATATTTTAAGAGTTAACTTATCTACTGCATATTTTGCCCAAGATTAAAAATCAACATAATTTATCCACTAAAATACTTGCATTGATAAAATTGCATGAAAATCAAAAGATGTTATATTTCACTTCTAGGCACAAGTGCATATGGTAAATACCATATAACGATTATTTGCATTATATTGCATTACAGACATACTAATGCTAAATTTGTAGCATTAATTACATATATCAGAGATTCACATTACCGGTATCTGATTTACAGCTACTGTTCTACATTTTTTAATATTTTGTTGGGGGAGGGGGTGCTTAAGGTTACACATTAAATGCACTTAATGCAGTGTTTCTCATTTTAAAAATGTTGAGTAAAAAAAATTTCCCACCTAAATAAACAATGCATTTATTTATCTATCTTTATTTGACATAATCCAAAGAATTTTTTTCCACTATTTGATAAACATTGTTATTATTATTAATGTCTAATATCCTGAAAATATTCTGTAACTTTTAAATAAAGGACAATCAGTTGGTGAATGAATCTTTAACACAATTCATGTCTCACATTATACAAATTCTCTCATGTGATTTTTTTGTCTTTCCGTGTTTACAGTTTTATATATAATTCACTTTCGATTCTGTGATTATGTTCAATTTACTGTATAATAATTTTCTAGTTTTAAACTTTTCAAAAAAAAGTTTTTTTTATTTCAAGACATTTTTTATTGTCGAAATATGTTCTAAGTTTACCTGACATACAACCCTTGAGACTTCTATTTACTAAAACACTAAGTATCTTTTAAAAAAAAATCATCTTTCATAATTTCTTTTACATGTAGATGTTTCTTTAAAGTTATTAGTTTTATTATTTACATCCCCCATAGTAGACCCATTTTGTTCAAACACCACAAAAAGAAAATCAAGCAAAAAATCCATAATAACCAAAATTAATACATCTGATCATGTAATTTAAGGACCCTCTATACACCAATGAAAAATGTTTTTAAGGCTCTGAGAAAATTATATCATATTAAGATATAAATACATGTATGGAGTTTATCTAATTATAATAGTATTTAATTTTCAACATAGGGTACCTGCCATTTATCCCCAGGAAAAATATTCAAAGACAATGAATTGTTGGTGAACTGAAAACACCGTTGCTTACTTGAATGGCAAAAATTCATGCAAATAAGGCGTTCAATTAATTCAACTAGCCCAAATGAAATGTTTAGAATTTTTTAATTGATTACAAATTGAATAACAAATTTAGATTTCAATTTATTTCATATTAGATTTAAGGGCAGATCACTTTAACTGCAAAAAATACCATGGAATTGAAACTCTTTAGTGTGCAATGTATAGAGGGTTCTTAAGTATGAACAGTATTCTAGCACAATAAATAAAACGTCAAGGTCAAAACACTAACATAATAAAGGTCAAAAAGCAGAGATCATTTAAATTGTAAATGGGCACATCACTGATCTGGTTTGTGTCCCTTTTCCAGTTTATTCATGTTATTCAAGACTATTTGAAGGACTAATTATTGATTAATGAATTGTAATAAAGAAGCAACATTTACATTGTTATGACTTTATTAACTATAAAAAAATATTTTGAAGGTATTAATTAATTGGAATACATTGTTGTGATGAGCAGACATCAAGATTAGAAGGCTCACATGCATGTAGAGGACAATCCACTCAAATTTTCAGAATAAAGTGTTCTTCTGGATGGTCTGGGCAGTAAGTATATAAACATGTATATGAATATAAAAGAAAATGTCTTTTTTTGTCTGAAGTGTATACTTGGCCCCTGTATCTGAAATTAAAAAATCATCATGTATTTTTCATATGTACAGAAAGAATTCATGATATCATGATACTTATACAAATGAAATCATCTGAATTTTCATTATTCTTTAATTTCACTTTACAGAGAATCTTCATGACATTTGGTATGTTAATATGTGTATTATTGTCATCTTTTTCAGGCCCAAAGACTAGTCTAAACCAAAGATTACCAGGTAGTTTGCCCAGTAGTGATCACTTGATGAGCCAGACACAAATTGAAGTGTTAGTGATATAATGGAAAGAAAAATACTCACTTTCTAATCCATTCGTAGATGTTGTTTCTCTCCTCGGCTTCATGTTTATTACGTCCAATACGAGTCATGACTTCTTTTGTACCAATTGACATTCAAACCATGGATACCAGCAGCACTAAGCATTTCTTCTTCAGTCTCATGAATATCTATAAGATAATCTTAATAAATATAGGATAGACAATTCATTTACCTCTTGGAATATTTTTCAAATTAACTTAAAATGCTGAAAACAGTTCAAACAAAATTACAATTAACATAGTTATGTTGAGTGGTTTTACCCTGTTATTTCACTAATTTAAGATTTAAGTAATTTGAGATTTGATATTTTTACAGCTTTTTATTCAAGTTTTATAACAATTTTCACAGTATGAATTTGATTTGCAAAGCTGAAGTTGTAAATTATGATACTTGGTGTCTTGAACACTGATATATCTCAAATATCCATGGATATGTCAAAGTGATTTGGAAGTCCCAACTACTAAGGGTACTTTGATATTCTTGAAGTATTTTACTCTTGATATCTTGAATACTTGGATATCTCGGAAGTTTTTATCAGTCCCATAGTAGGATAACGAGGTTTGACAACAAAGTTTGACTAATTAATATTATTAATATAAACACGTATGATGACCTCTTTTTTTTTTGGCTTGTCAAGCTTAAACTGAAAATGTTTGGTCCCCCCCCCCAAACACACACACACTTACATTGCTTCCCAAGGACCTGACCCCATAATTTAAAAATGATTTCACAGATAACTGTAGACAAATTCCCCCCCAAAAAATGTATTAGTAAGCTACATACACGTTTCTGCAGCTACCTAAGGTTGACTTAATTTAATACAATGTTCCTGTTTGCATGCTCTTGTCTGTCTGATATGTCTTCATGTTCTCTTTCCTAATAATTAAATTAATGTTTCAAAATAAAAAAAAATAATGCTTAATCTAGTTTTATCTATTGTTTTTATTTTACTTCTCATTGTTATTATTATTTAAAAAAAATAATCAGAAGGCTTTGATTTATATTTCTCATGTTTCTTGCAAATGTAGAATTTTTTCACATTAAACAAAAGTTTTTATATAAAGAAAAATAAAGTATACAAATAAACATAATAAATATAAAATAAAATATATTCCATTCATGTTCTTGGGGTTGTGTGATTACTATCTTTGTATTTTATGTTTGGCATTAGAACTGCTACATATATGAAAAAATTATTAAAAATACATAATTGGCCTGCATTTACCCAATGCCGACACAGGAAGTTTTCCAAGGGCAAGGCCAAAATCCATTGATGACGTAGTTTGATGCAGACAACATGTAGATCTTGTTTTGCACAGTGATTCAAAATGTATAAACGTGGATTTGTATGTGCACTGCTTAAGAGTTATAAATGTACCAAAGCCAGTAAGTGAATTCGTGTTACAAGTGATGTTTAACAAACTTTTTAACCGTGTTTACAACAAACTACAGTAAACTGTCTAGTGTGTTGGATTTATTTGTGAGGCAAAGGTAAAGTTGTAATTAATTACAAATCTAAATTATTAGAACATACTCGCTTACAGATAGATCTATCATGCTGTGTTGGTAAAGCAATGATGTCACTTGGTTGAATTTTGTTATAATTGTAGCCTCGATCGTTCTTTCCATTACTGATTACTTTTGTCAGTTATGACTTCTGAAGAAGATATGAGTTGAATCTTACCTCTTTTCTTAGTAGTGTTAAACACTTGTTCTCGGATTCGTCGAAGACGCTGTTTTTGCAATTTTTTCGTTGAAAAATCTGTGTTTATTGGGCACTTGGAAAGTCTCCGGCTGTATTGCGTTCCGTACATCGGTAAGCAGAGAGCATTCCCGAACGTGAGTTACGTCATTATGTCACTGACGGCGATGTACGGAAAATCACGAATAATGATGGATCCCCTTCCGAAGTGGTGGCCATTTTGGTAATGTTAAATCCCCGTAGACTTTGAATTTGCCGCCGTGTCAATACACTGGTTGAACTCGAGGGTTCGGATAAATGGAGGAAGTTTGGAAAAAAAATGATCTATCGATCGAACCTAATTTGAAGACCAAGGTATTTATACATTTTGAGATATGAGGTGAAAAGTGAGGTCCTTGGTACCGTGGGACAGACTATAATAATGTTTGAAATGACTCTCTGCTATAATCTTTATTTATACGTTCAAAATTCAAGTTTTTAAGAGCCATTCTCTGTAACGACTTGAACTTTTATATAGGAGCTGTGGCACGCATAGTCTTAGAATTTCTCCAAACTCTCTATGATAAAAGTCTTTGATACCGTAAACTCAAATCAGGCAGAAATTGGTTGCTACGTGTCATGGTTACCATGGTAACATGTCCTAAAGTTTAAAAAAATGGCATTTTTCAACATGTTCAGAGTCCCACAATTAACGTTTGCAGCAAAGCAAACAAGTGGCAATGATTGTTTCTGAAAGTTGAAGGCCTGATGTATTAAATGCATGATAAACACGTTTGGTAAATCAACTATAACATACGTTACTATGGAAACAAAGTATTCAAAAGTAATAATTTTGCTCATTCAATTTTATAAAATCATACACTTAAGAATAGAAAAAATTATAGGTTGAAATGCAAGCAAATAATAGACAAGAGATCCTTGTAACATATACCAAGGACGAAATATGATATTTCTTACAGGTTGGCAATGGTTGCCAGCCATGGTTTTAATACCAAGAAGGGATTGTAAATTTACTCTCATAGTGTTTCAATCTAATCCTATCTTTTTAAAAAGCATATTTTTATATAACTATTTATCAATATTTAAAGACGTTTATGTGACCCTAATTTTCACATTTCAAAAAATTCAAATTCAATTCTTTAAATAGAGCGTTGCTATGGAAATAAGCAGAAAAAATATGCATAAAAATCTGAAAAATATTATGTTTCCTTGGATACGTACCCTTGTATGTAGATTCCCAAAACTTTTATGATTGATAATTATGAACAACTAACCTGACTTTCAATTTTGACTGCCACCCAATCTCGAAGTGGATGCAAAAAGCTGGCACATAGGGTTTAATATTGATATAAAATTAACAAAATTGAACATTTTCCGTTCTTGGTTACCATAGCGACAGTGTTGTATTTTTCAACAAACGTTATCGATATATGATATTCAACTTTAGTTCTACCAGATAAGTACTATTCAAGGTGAGTCAAATAATATGTTTCTTGAATAAAAGGTAAGTAAATTCCTAAGGCAGCATAAAAATATCACTTTAGACAACTGGTACATTGTTTCCATGGTTACACTGCAAAGTAACAATTAATCCCAATTCTTCTTATGTTGTCGGTGTTGCTAGGTCCTAAGGATGTATATGTGCCAGTCATGAATTTTATCGATTTTCCTGAAGATAGTAGCATTAACCCCATTAACCCAATCTTAGCAACATGTTTTGCATGGTTACACTGTGTTACCATGGCAACCCTGAAAGTTATTTTTAGAATAATATTGCCAATACCTAATTACTTAAGGTCAAATATTTTTATTGTTTTTTTTTTTTTTTAGGTTGTTGATTGAGTTTGATCATTTAACACCTATCATTAGTAAATATTGAGCGTTTTTCTGCATTTTTCAGCATCTATGATGTATTCCAAATGTACCCATGGTTACCACTTACTTAGAGATAAATTCTAAATAGTTTCTTTATAGCATAATTGGCAACAAGGTGTCAGGTTTTTGTGAGAATGGTTTGTTTGTTTTTCTTAGTCATTATTAAGGCTTTATAAAGATTCAAAATAGCTAAAAAATCTCAATTTTTCCAACTTTTCTGCCTGTTACCATGGCAACCAAGACACATAGCAACGAAATTTTATTTGAAATATGTATCTGTTGTCAAGTTGTAATAATGGGCAAAGTTTCATCAAAATCGGTGACCATGCGTGGCAAAGAAGTTTAAGTGGTTACAGAGAATCGCTATTAAAACTAAACTAAAACAATCCTTGATATTGATACAAATTTAAACATATATATTTTCTAATGCTCTTCTTTACATTTCCACAAAAATTTGTACTTCACATATATGCAGCAAGTTTCGTGTACCGCTTTGAATCTGTAGAGTAACATACTTCCCTCGCGTATCGACAGGACAGAGAAAGAGTATACGGTCCCCGTTAGATGCTTGTCTCTGGTAATAACCGCATTTTGTTTCTTTTGCATTCTCGCCAATAGTAATGAGTAGACTGTGTAGATTTTGACCTTCATGAAAAAAACGATATTTTTTTTCTTCATTGGTTATCAACAATGCATATCGTTGAAAATGTTAACCTAAGAGAATTGTGACTAAAACTAAAAGATGTCATATACATTTGATATTTTGGCTAAAGGTGGGTATGGACCTAGCAAAATTATTAGAGTTCGTTTGTTGACAGTTTTTCCAAACATGATCATAAAAAATAGTGCTCCAATAAAAACATCTTAATAAGATGATTTGCTTGAGAGTAAGTAACCGATGTCAACAATTACGAGTGTGTATCCTTACAAAAGTAAATTTCTTTGTGCTCTCTCTCTCTCTCTCTCTCTCTCTCTCTCTATATATATATATATATATATATATATATATATTACTCTGAAATATCTCACCACCATAATCTTGTCTGTTGAATACTAGAACTTGAACAACATCAAACGTGTTCTGCAGGTCTATTTTTATCCAAGGACGGTTTTCAAAATCTGTATGCGCATTTGATAGACCATCTGGACAAACAGTAATATTGTCAACAGCAAGCGAGGCACGATGATACTCTGGTCTGTGCACTGAACTTATAGTAGCTGGTTTGTTCACTGCAACTATCAACATAAATTGTACAATAAACTCGATTTAAATATGTCAACAATTCTTGTTCATAGTTTGTCTTTTGCAAAAGCAATAGAATCAATAGCATGGCGAGTTACAATTTCTTTTTAAAATCAATTTAAAGAAAAAAAATATTCATAACTCTTATTAATGATTTGTCTCCATATACGACACTGGCAACGTATTCAGTAATCATTGAGGAATTCATATTCTTTTAAAACTCAAAAACAAGCTCATTAATTTTTATCATCAAGATACACTCACATACCAAAAATCAGCTCAATATCTGCAAGCGTTTAGGAAAAAAGTGCGGAAAACCAAGTGGGACAGACTGACAGACAGACAGACAGACAGACGGACGAACGGACAGACTCAGAGGAAAACTATAGTCCCCTCCGGTTTCACCAGTAGGGGACTAATAACTGCAGGTAACCT